GGGTGGGCCGTGCACAAGCCCATGGAGCCCCCGCGAGGACACCCAAGGAGCCCGTAGGAAAGGGCCCAATGAGCTCCCAAGAGGAGCCCAAAGAGTCCCCCAGGAGGGCCCCAAGAAGGCTCCAGGCGGCTCCAGAGGGCCCCAAGGCGGCTCCAGAGGGCACCAAGACGGCTCATGTTTCTCCTCCTACTCCTCCTTCTCTTCCTCCTCATCCCATGCATCATCCTTCTACCCACTCCTTCATCCATCCATCCAGTCTCCTTCTCCTCCTTCCTCCCCCGCGCAATTTGGCGACCCCCTGCTTTGCTCCCGCACTTCCCTGATCACCTCAACTCGCCTGTGCGTCGTTCCTGGATGGGTTGGTGGGGATGCGCGAAGCGTCAAGAATTTCCAGAGAGCCTCGACAGGCTTCCGGAGTTTCGAAGCTCACATTTTACGCTCTGTTCCAGCGCATGCTGTTGCACCTCGCTAATGAGGGCAACTCGCCTGGGGATCGTTTCTGGATGGACTGGTTGGGACGCTCGAAGCGTCAAAAATATGTCGTGGAGGGTGTACTGCGTGTTGGTTGCTATTTCGTTGCTGTTGTTGGTCGTTCGCACTGCGGTGCCTATTCCGCCGACGCCGTCGGTATCCACTCAGGGCGCCTCTCCGTAGTCGTCGACTCGTGCATGCTCCAGGCCGCTCCGAGCGCTGCTAACGTGGCCTCACGGTGCCCCCGCTTGGTCCAGCTAACCGAACGCGGCTTCATGCCAGGGTACTGCAGCAACCACCTGCCGTTAGGCGGGTCGGTGACGATCCTGCACGGCCCTGGCGCATGTCGCCGAAGGGTAGCATCGGCGTCCTTGTCGATGTCCGCGTACACTCGGTTCTTGTACACTTCCACTTGCAAGGCCTGCTTTTTGGCCGCCGCCTTCGACAAGGCCTTCTTCACGGCCTCCTTGGTCCCTGGCAAGACGGCATCTACCATCTTCTTCGTGCTTGCGACTGTCTCGGCGCGCCGCTCTAAAGCTTTCTTCTGGCTCGCAATAATATCCTTGCTCTCCTTCTTGTCCGATAACAAGGCGACGTCGTCCCAGTGCGTGTCCTCTACGTCGTCCAAGTAACTGCATCCGTCGAGGTCCTGCTCCAAGTTCCGTTTCAATATGAACTGTTGCGCCTCCTTGTTCGTCATTTCGGGGTTCTCTGCCAACATTAGCTTTAGGGCGAGATGGTCCTCGTAATTGCACCCTCCGATGTCGCCCACGTTTGCCTCGTCGATGCCCTTGTCGGCCACCATGGCCTTCAGGCACGTCTCGGGCACGCCGGCGAATCCGTTCTCGCACTGCCACGAGATCACAGTCTTGCTGGGCCCCTGAATGCTGAACACGGCGCCAACCACAGGAAAATCGCATAGGAGATGCCTGTCCGCGCACGTCGCGCACAATTCCAATGCGAGCCGCGGGCCGCCATGCCGCGCCGCGCCCGCAAGAGTACGCCAAACAAACTTTCGGAAGACATTGTGACTCCTCAATCGCCGCCAGTTCCGTCGGGCAACGACGGGCGCTGTCGGCCACCGCCCGGCGCCGCCCGACGGTGCCCGACGGACCTTGGCGCACTGTGGCAGACAACGGCAGGGCAATGGGCGGCGGCTCGCATTCGGAAATTGTGCCAACGACGCGACGCGCCAACAGCCTCTCCACAGGAGATAAAGGCTTCGTCGGCAAAACCCTCCACCCGTCGAGGTCGAAGACCGTCGCCATGGTCAACTCGGTAATCTCCAAATTGAGGCAGCAGGTCGCATTCTTTCCAACTGGTTTCAGGGCTGGCCAGAGCAGAGCACACCCCTGCAGCACTTTCACGACCAGGTAAGCCTGACCGCGACCTCGGCGATGCAAGCGCCGGCATTGGGAGGGAATAGAAAGGGAAGGGGCCAACGCCGCAGTTCGGGGGCCTTTCGGCGTCAAATGGACGGGGCGCGCACCACAAGGAGTGCACGCGTGGAAATCTGAAGTGGACGCTGGCTTCTCGGGCACCGCAGCGTTCGCTGTCCAATCCCTCTCCTCCCCCCCAAATGCCAGCGATTGCTTCCCGATGTCCGTCGCTGCAGCCTTGGACGTGGCAACCTCTTTCACAAACTGGCCCTCTGGCAGAAAGTGCGACACCCACATCTTGTCGAGGTCGCCCTCGGCATTCTTCTCCTTCCGGTGCGCCAAAGCAACAAGGCCACTCCAGCAGTCCAGCACGGATACCGTATTGAAAGTCGTCCAATCCTGTTTGCCTGAAACCTTCTTTAGCGGCACCGAGTCGCCCTTGCCAGAGCTGTCGTGCACTGGCTGGAAGAGCGCATCCGCTCCCCACTCACGGGGAATCGACGCTGCAGTCGACGGTTTGACCTCGTTCCTGCCAAATTTCTTCAGCAAGGCGGAGTCGTAGGGGATGGACCATTTGTCGAAATACCCAAAATGTTTCGATTGCGATTTCATGGTCTCCGACTCTCTCAGCTGTTTGTTGCAGTTCTCGGCTATGATCGTCTGGCAGATGCCGTGCCAAACAGCCTCGAGCCATTCCTGCAGCTGGGGCCCAACGCCCTCGAACTTCGTGGCCTCGGCGAAGCGCATGGCCAACTCCATCGCGGTAGTCGAGAGCAGCGACTTGCCGACGATGCCCTTGACCACAGTGTGCGTGCTCTTCTGGGCGCTCCTGAAAGCTTCGACGACGCGGCGAAACCGCGCCAACGAAATTGCTCTCTTCTCTGGCGATTTGTGCAGCAACCCTGCAAGAGACTCTGGGAAGCCGTGAGTGCAACGGAGCATGGAGGCCGATTTGGACTGGATCATGCAGAAGACCAATTTCCAGTACATCGCCATCTTACCAGACTCCACGGACACCACATCAGACTCCAGGCTGACGTTATCGTACTTCTTGCTGCCGAATTCTGTCACGAAACCGATGTGGCGCAGCTGATCCATGTCGGCGCACGTTCGGACGACGTCGACCAGCTCCTCGAGCCATGACCTGCGGGGTGGCGTTTCGGAACGGGCGTGCCACTGGGAGGTCGCGGCCTTCGGCCGCAGGGTAGCGAGTACATCCCAGCAGTATGCTTCATAACGGCGGCATGGGCTCCCACTGGCCCCTTGGGGCAGCAGGTGTCCTAGGGCGTCCCCAACATGTGCATCTCTTTGGCTAGGCGACTCTGCGAGGCGGGGATGGTGCCCTTCGCCGGTTCCTCGAGGCGCCGCCTCGATCTTCAGCAGACCGCATAGCGCATACTACGTTGTTGTGGTGATTGCTTCAATGGGTCGGCCCAAATAACTAAAGGCGCCACGTGCACACGGGATACCAACTATGTGGAACACCACGTGGCCTCTGGATGAACTGCGCGTGTATACTGAGCGACGCCCCCGCCTGTGGACCGCTAAGGTCCCCAAGACGAACCAACGGGTTTCCAATGTGATTCCAAGAGGCCACGCATAAAAACGCGGAGGCCGCCACACATTGCCACGCGAAGGGAGCGACGACACTTCAAACAACACCGAAGTATTGCACATTCTGCACCAAGCCGCAAGAAGCCCCGATTCCGGCCCGAGGGGGCGAAAGACGCCTCCAAGGCACCCTGGGGATCCAATTAGCCAGGCGAGGGAAACAACCATATGCAGTTGTGAGTAACGCCGTTGTGGGTATCGTCTTCGGTGGAGCTCTAAATGGGGCCACGAGACGTCTGAGGGACGTGCCGAAATGGGTGGTGTGGAAGCATGCGGACGCAGCCACTGGCGCCTTCTAGTGGAGCTCTCTGTGGGGCCACATAACGTGTGAGGGGTGTGCCGAAATGGGTGGTGGTGAGGCATGCGGACACAGCCACTGGCGCCTTCTGGTGGAGCTCCCTGTGGGGCCACAAAACGTGCGAGGGGTGTGCCGAATGGGTGATGGAGAGGCATGCGGACGCAGCCACTGGCGCCTTCTGGTGGAGCTTCCTGTGGGCCACGAAATTTGTGAGGGGTGCGCCGAAATGGGTGTTGGGGAGGCATGCGGACCCTGCCACTGGGGCCTTCGGTGGAGCCTCCTATGGGGCCACGAAGCGCGTGAGGAGATGATGAACATGATAACGCTGATGGGGGGGGGAGGAGGGGGACGAGCAGGAGAGGAGGAAACGCGGGGCGGTGTCTCTTCAAAGCGAGGACCCAACACCACAGGATGGCCGGGAAAACATCAAAGATGGCTCGCAATTCCATGGAGGCCAATCAATCAGCTCATGGGGCGGCCGAACTGGACCCCCAAGAGGCCCCAGACAATCCCAAAGAGGACGATCGCCATGGAGGCTTCGCTTGCCACTCGAGTTTTCAAACGACCCCGCTGAAGTTCCCAGGACACCTTTCCTGGGGGCTCCTTTGGTTTCCTCGTGGGGCCCCCATGGGCTTGTGCGCGGCCCACCCAAGGAGCCCCGCCGGACCATATTGGGCCTTCATGGAGCCCTCTTCGGGGACTCTTTGGGCCTCTCTTGGGGGCTCCTTGGGTCGTTTCCTGGGGGCTCCTTGGGTTTCCTCGCGGGGCCTCCATGGGCTTGTGCACGGCCCACCCAAGGAGCCCCGTCGCGGGACCATCTTGGGCCTTCTTGGAGCTCTCCTGGGGGACGCTTTGGGCTCCTGTTGGGAACTCACTGGGCCCTTCCTAGGGGATCCTTGGGTGTCCTCGCGAAGCCTCCATGGGCGTGTACACGGCCCACCCAAGGAGCCCCGCCGCGGGACCATCTTGGGCCTTCTTGGAGCCCTCCTGGGGGACTCTTTGGGCTCCTCTTGGGAGCTCATTGGGCCCTTTCCTACGGGCTCCTTGGGTGTCCTCGTGGGGGCTCCATGGGCTTGTTGTGCACGGCCCACCTCAGGAGCCCCGCCGCGGAACCATCTTGGACCTTCTTGGAGCTCTCTTGGGGGACTCTTTGGGCCCCGATTGGGGGCTCCCTGGGCCCCTTTCCTGGTGGCCTGTGACGAGCGCGCCGGGGAGGCGGAGGCCGAAGGCAATCAAGAGTCCGAGTTGACACACCCTGGATGTACCAGTGCGCCCAGTCAGCGAACCATTTTACCTGTTCCTCGACGGCCCTCATCTCCCGGTACGCCTCCCCGTACTCGATCGCCAGGGGGTTCGTCGCCGCGAACACCATGCGCAGCTGCATTGTCAAGTCCGTGTTGGCGAGCATCCGACCCACGGCGTGAAGCGTGTTCGCTGAACGCTCTCGCTCCGCAGCCGTGGCTTTGTCGCCAGCCTCCTTGGCCTTCGTGTTGGTCATCGGGGGGGCCGCTCCCTCGCTGGCTAAATCGACGACAGCGCTCACGCCGCCCACTCCCGCAGCCGCCGCCGGGCTCGTCGAGGGCGCACTTGAAGCCGAGGAGGCGCCCGCTGACCCCGAAGCCGAAGAGGCGCCCGCTGACCCCGAAGCCGCACTGGTCAATCTCCCTGCTTTGGGCGCCTTGCTGGACGACTGAACTGCGCCTGCATTCGAAGGGCCTGACTCTGCCCCCAGCCCCTCGGCCACCAGCGCGGCTTCCTCTTTCCCACGGCGCGGGGAGCAGAAGATATCGTGGACCCCTTTGGCCCAGCCATGGCGGATCGCAACCCACGTGATCACGAAAAGCTTGATGTGATGAGTATTGTCCCACTCCCTGTGGGCATTGCAAAAGCTGTAAAAGCGACCAGTCGAGCATTTGGGCCCTTTGAGGGTGCCGACGTTCATGGTCGGGAGAAGCGCCAGGAAGGCGGTGCGCCCATCCTGACCTGCCGAGGCGCGACAGCAAACATTCGCCCCAGCTGGCCCCCCATGATCCTCTACCCCACCTCCCCCCGTCACGTTCCCAAGATACGGAAAGGCCACCCAGACGGAACTGCTATGTGCAATGATGGGCGCTGCGACGCTGAATCGCGAGGCCACCTCAGATCCCCTCGGGCGCACGAGGGCACTGCCGGGCGCTCCGGAGCGAGATGCGAACCAGGCGCGATGGCGATAGCAGCCCCGAACCTAAGTAGCGCATGTCTGTCCAGCCCAGGTCCTTCAAGATGTCCTGCCAGAAAAACAACAAGAGGGAGTCGTTGCAGTGCATGCTCGTGGAGATGTCGGTGACCGCATCCTGGAGGTGCTTGTAGAACGCCGAACGCTGGAACGGCCCGTACGCGATGTTGTAGATGAGCTGGGATACCCGCACCGCCGCCATAAAGCCAGAGCGAGTGAGGCCGTCCAAGATCGCCCTCCACCCTGCGTGCGCCGGGTCGCACACGAAAACCATGTTGACCCCCAGCTTGAACATCAAGAAGTTCGACCCGCAAACCTGCGTAGACTGCCTGTCGCTGCACATGGTGAGGGTGTTTGGGATCGTGTTGCCTGGGGCGATCAAGGGGCTGTCTGGGAAACGTACCTGCAAGCCGGTGGTGGTGGACGCCTGGAGCAACTCGGACACGTCGAAATCCTTGAAGCTTTTGCCGATGCCGTTCCGCATGGTATTTTCGCAGATGCGAAGCCAATCAAGCGTTGCCAACCTCGGCACCGTCTCATGCTGCGACTTGGCCTGCCTCCGTTTCTCTGCGGCCGACTTCGGGCATGGCCTGAAGAAGCGGCTGATCTGCGTCTGCCAACCCTCCGCCTCGTCGGCGGTGTATTCCACGCCTGCGGACGAGGCCTTGTGCCGCAGATCTCGCAGAATCTTCGAGGGTGAACTCAACAAAACTCAAAGCTAAAAACAACATCAAACGTACCCGGAAACAGACGTGCGAAACATCGCCTGTTGAACCTACATAGGGGGCCACCCAGAACTGGCGGCCAAACGTACCCCCAGATCGACGTGCCCCGAAAATCTTCATCAAGATTTTGCTGCGTCCACCCTTGCAAGCCTGCGGGGGGCCCCAGCAGCAAACGCCGTGCTTCGTGTCGCAGAATGCGAAGGACACCAGATCGTCGTTGTCAACCCTGACCCCGTCGAGGCTCACCGACACGTGGCCGACCTTGCTGAAGGATTGGATGGACGTCAGGGAGTACTGGAACATCTCATCCTTCGTGAACCGCTTCGTTGCGCGGATGCTGGGGCAGTCGGGGCCCTCGCCGCGCTTCCGTTTCAAGCCAGCCTCTACTGCGGCAATTTGCCCTGCACTGCGCACGGACGGGATGCTTCTGGCGGAGTGCCGCATGTCCATCTTGATGCCCATTGAAATTCGACGACACCGGGTCGTCTTCAACCTCAGCACGTGCAGCGATGCGTGGTTCTCGCCATTCCCTGGTTGGACAAGCACGTCGAAGATCAGAGATGCTGCGTAACAAAGGGCCCGAAGCAGGCGACGAGACTCCTCCTGGACGGCAGCGCTCGCCCTCCCCGCACGTGTCAAACTGTAACTTAACGTCGTGATGGCTTCATGCACGGGAACCGCCTCCGCTCGCCATTTCGGAGACCTCCACAAGGCCGTGAACGTGCCGCCGACGCCTTTCAGAGGGCCCAGCTGTAAGACCCCACTCTTGATCTCGAGTGGCACGCCGCCTAGGGAAGTCATCATGACCGGTGGGCCTGCAAATATCTTCTGGCAGAAGACCCGCAGCATCTTGGAGGCATTGTCTCTGAGGCTCCGGGCTGCGACCTTCTTCGAAGAAGACCCGCTGAAACGTCCCAGTACGAGCAGCAACCCCATTGACGAGAATGACCACTCTCGCTCGTGGGTCAGCTGCTGGCTAATGGTTCTGCTTTCGGCAGCTGCTTTGGCCCTGGCGTTCAACGACTTCAAAGATCGCCGAACATGCGCCTCGGCCTCCTCCACGCCCGCGTTCCTGCTGAAGGGGGCCATGCGCCGCCCGCGGGCGCAGTTTTAATCAGATGGCTTCCAGGGGACCCCAACAGGACCCCAACGGGGCCCCCAGAGGGGCCCAAGAGGGCCCCCAACGGGTGCTACAACAGGGGGGTGCGTTGTAGCACCCGTTGGGGGGTCCTCTTGGAGCCCTTTTCGGAGCCCTTGTAAAGCCTTCTCGGGGCCCCCGAAACCGCCCCCCGAGCCCAGGCGGCTCGCAGAAAGGCCGCAATGGGCCCCAAGAGAGCCCCAAGGGGGGCCCAAATAATTCCCCAAGTGGGATCCATGACGGCCCTGGATGGCCCCGCGGCGGGGCTCCTTGGGTGGGCCGTGCACGAGCCCACGGAGGCCCCGCGAGGAAACCCAAGGAGCCCCCAGGAAACGGCCCAAGGAGCCCCCAAGAGGGGCCCAAAGAATCCCCCAAGAGAGCTCCAAGAAGGCCCAAGATGGCCCCGCGGCGGGGCTCCTTGGGCGGGCCGTGCACACGCCTAAGGAGGCCCCGCGAGGAAACCCAAGGAGCCCTTCGGAAACGGCCCAAAGAGCACCCAATATGTGCCCACTGGGCTTCCCAAGAAGGCTCCAAGAGGGCCCCCATAGGGCTTCCTGATGGCAGGAAGTTAGCCTATAAAAGCGAATGACGTTATTAGCATGGCGAGGAACCCAACCATATGCATTTGTGAGTACCGCAGTTGTGGGTATCGTCTTCGGTGGAGCTCCCTATGGGGCCACGACACGTGTGAGGGGTGCGCCGAAATGGGCGGTGGGGAGGCATGCGGATTCTGCCACTGGGGCCTTCGGTGGAGCTCCCTATGGGGCCACGAAATGTGTGAGGGGTGCGCCGAAATGGGTGGTGGGGAGGCATGCGGACCCTGCCACTGGGGCCTTCGGTGGAGCTCCCTATGGGGCCACGAAATGTGTGAGGGGCGTGCCGAAATGGGTGACGATGATGATGACGGTGATGACGATGATGATGATGGTGGTGATGATGACGACGACGACGACGACGACGATGATGATGATGATGATGACGATGACGATGATGATGACGATGGTGGTGGTGATGAGGATGATGAATACGATTACGATGCTGATGATGATGATGATGACGGTAACGATGATTGGGAGTTGGGAGGAGGAGGAAGAGAGGAGGAGACGCGGGGCGCTGTCTCTTCAAAACGAGGACCCAACACCACAGGATGGTTGGGAATAAAAGGACGTGGCCGCTTTGTGGGCCCCTCTTGGAGCCTTCTGCAAACGTGTTGGGGCCCTCTGGGGCTCCTCTTGGGCCCCTCTTGGGAACGTTTCGGGGCCCTCTTGGAGCCCTCGAACGGGGCCTCGGGCTCGGGGGGATCTAGCGGGGGCCGCGTGAGGGTCGCGAGGGCCTCAAGAAACCCGCGTTGCGAAAACCTTTTGCCCTCGCAATGCGGCGGCAAAAAGGTCAAGGAATTCATGCATCAACCGAAGTCCCAGTGGCACATCATTCCCCGAGGCTGCGGGCACACCCCATGTGTCCTGACATGCGCCCCAAGAGGAACCCGGAATCCTCGGAGATCCCCCGAACCGCCCCGACGGCACCCCAAGGCGCCCTTGAAATGAATCCAAGAGTTGCGTTCCAACCAAGGACCCCTAAGTATCTGAGTCCCCCAGGCCGCGGACACCTCCCGAGAGAGCCCCCTCTGGGGTCTCAAGAGGAGCTACTGGGACAGCCTGGAGGAAGGCAGTATAGAGGCTACGACGCGACAGGCTCAGGCGAGGGACCCGGCAAAAAGTGGGCACGGTTTTCCCCTCAGGTCCTGATGATGCCGAGCCACCTGCTGACGTTCCTACTGCACCAGTTGCTCCCGCCGCCGTGGCCCATCAAGAATGACTGCACCCATGGCGCAACGAGGAACTTCCTGATGGCAAACTCCGTCTTGGGGGAATCGTGGGCGTAGACCTCCATGCGCAAGCTCACGCCGTCCACGGAGTGAGAGAAAACTTGCAGGCGCACCTGCTTCCGGTACGACTCCAGGGGCACCTCCGAGTTCTCCGACTTCACATACACGAAAGCATTGCTGGCGTCCTCTGCCTCCCCGCGGCTGTGGACGCTTCGGTCAAGCAGGCTGTTGCACCAAATGCCCTCGTCATCGACGACGCCCTCTTTGGTCATGAAGCAGAGGCCGTCTTGGTCGTCGTAGCGAAGCAAACGCCGGCAATCCAACGCAACCGCCTCCCCTGTCACGCGGTGGCGCACATGTTGAGGCCGATGGCCCCCCCAATCTAACACTTCGAGCCGACCGCGATGACTCCACTCGACCTCCGTCATTGGAGCCCAGCAGCGATGCAGGTTGACAGGAATCACCGAGGCCACAAACAAACTAGAGCCAAAACGGCAAGTCCGTATTGGAGGCCCTCGGATTGCAAAAATATCTGGGGGCGCATCCGCAGTGCCCAGGCGAGCGTGCTCGATGAAAGGGTCATGACTACACCGGAGAGAACGCAGTCAGTGGCTCCAACGACAACTGCTATCACTGAAAAGTACCGACGGGCATGGACGCTGGATGCCGAGCGGCGCCCATGAACAGAAGAAGGCTCCGAACAGCTTAGAATGGCTTTCATGGGGCTCTCTTGGGGCCCTACTCGGACCCCAGAAGTGCTACATCTGAAACGGCAGGGCCATATGCTCTACTTTGAAAGCCTGCTGGTGGCCTCCAGAGGCCCTGTGAAGCCCCTAGGAGGCCCCCGAAGCACTCTAATTGAACCCCAAAATGACCCAAGAGGACCCTGAGAGGGACCCGAGAGAGCTCTAAGAGGATTCCTAGAAGGCGCCGAGTACGGTGTGCAATTGTACAGGGTACCTGGGGCCCTTCTGGAACAATCTTGGGGCCCTCTTGGAGGTCGGGATGGCGCTGGACGGACCCCCGAGCACCCCCCCCAAACGCTCGGGGGAAGGTTGAGGAACAAACTGCATCTCAAACGCATACCCCCCCCCCAAAAAAAAACACATTTCAGCGGCATCCTCCCCACGAGAGAGAAATGGCAGGAGGTCGAGGGCATACGCACTGCGGGAGGTGTTGGAGAGACGGAGGGGCCCAAGAGGGAGCCGTCTTGGAATTCTGTGTGGGGCCCCTTGGGCCGTTTCCTTTGGGCTCCTTGGGTTTCCTCGTGGGGCCTCCGTGGGCTTGTGCAAGGCCCACCCAAGGAGCCCCGCCGCGGGGCCATCTGGGGCCGTCATGGAGCCCCCTTGGGGGGCTCTTTGGGCCCCCCCTGGGGTTCTCTTGGGACTTGTTGCGGCTCTCTGCGAGCCGCCTCGGGGCTCTGGGGGCGGTCCCAGGGGCTCCGAGAAAGCCTCAAGAGGGCCCCGAGAGAGCTCCAAGAGGACCCCCCAACGGGTGCTACAACGCCCCCCCCTGTTGTAGCACCCGTTGGGCGCCCACTTGGGCCCCTTCTGGGGGCCCTGTTGGGGCACTCTGGGAGCCATCTCGGGGCTCTAGGGGCGGTCTCAGGGGCTCGGAAAAAGTCCCGAGAGGGCTCCATGAGGAAGGCTCCAGGAGGGCCCCCCCGCGAATGCTACAACGCAACCCCCTGTTGTAGCATCCGTTGGCGCCCCATTGGGATCAGGGGCGCCAGAGTGGGCCCCGGGCCCTACACAACCCCGCGGGTGCGCAACGGCCGCTTGCAAAACTCTGGGGGCGCCTTCAGGCCCTTGTGGGCCCTGTGGGGCTCTTATTGGGCGCTGGAGGGAACTTCCAAACTATTTCTGAGCACCCGGCGGCAGCAGCGGCGCGCGCGAGGGGGCGGGAGAAGGCTGCGTGGGGTGCGAGGGCGGTCGCGAGCAACAGTAGCGGCAGTTTAGGGGGCACTTCTAGCGACAGCCGTGACAGTCAGAGGCATTTAGAGATCGGCCAACCATGAGGGGGGGGCAATGGTTTTAGCGCACGCGGCCAGCGTGTTGGACGCGTCGTGCGAGGGAGAAGCGAACATCCGTTGCCCCCCCCTCGCTCCTCCGAGCTGGATGTCGCGCAATGTCCCCCATGCAGCCTCGTGATCTTTATTATATCCTGAAGCATATCCGGCCCCCGCCCGCGTCCATTCCATCCCCCGCGTTCTCCTTAGGGGCGTGTCTCTTTCGCGTATTCAATCCCTCCCCTGCCTCCTCTGTCATCGGCACCCCCGCGCTTGTCTGTTTCTTATCCCAGTCCTCCACGGTCGTCTTGGGGCCTCCAGGGGGCCCATTCGGGCCCATCAGCATCCTCAGAAATAGTTTGGAAGTTCCCTCCAGCGCCCAATAAGAGCCCCACAGGGCCCACAAGGGCCTGAAGGCGCCCCCAGAGTTTTGCAAGCGGCCGTTGCGCACCCGCGGGGTTGTGTAGGGCCCGGGGCCCACTCTGGCGCCCCTGATCCCAATGGGGCGCCAACGGATGCTACAACAGGGGGGTGCGTTGTAGCATTCGCGGGGGGGCCCTCCTGGAGCCTTCCTCATGGAGCCCTCTCGGGACTTTTTCCGAGCCCCTGAGACCGCCCCTAGAGCCCCGAGATGGCTCCCAGAGTGCCCCAACAGGGCCCCCAGAAGGGGCCCAAGTGGGCGCCCAACGGGTGCTACAACAGGGGGGGGCGTTGTAGCACCCGTTGGGGGGTCCTCTTGGAGCTCTCTCGGGGCCCTCTCGAGGCTTTCTCGGGGCCCCTGGGACCGCCCCCAGAGCCCCGAGGCGGCTCGCAGAGAGCCGCAACAAGTCCCAAGAGAACCCCAGAGGGGGGCCCAAAGAGCCCCCCAAGGGGGCTCCATGACGGCCCCAGATGGCCCCGCGGCGGGGCTCCTCGGGTGGGCCGTGCACGAGCCCATGGAGGCCCCACGAGGACACCAAAGGAACCCCTAGGAGAGCCCAATGAGCTCCCAAGGGGAGCCCAAAGAGTTCCCCAGGAGGGCCCAAAAAAGGCCCAAGATGGCCCCGCGGCGGGGCTCCTTGGGTGGGCCGTGCGCAAGCCCATGGAGCCCCCACGAGG